ACATAGATGTAAAAGTACTCTATAAAGTACTGACAAAAAATCCAAGAACACATCAAAAAAAAAAATCATCCACCATGATCAAGTTGGCTTCATCCCTGAGATGCAGGGATGGTTCAAAATAACAAAAATCTATCAATGTAATCCCGCATATAAATAAAATGAAAGAAAAAAACATATGACAAAAAAAGCATTTGACAAAATCCAACACCTCTTCATGATAAAGGTCTTGGAGAGATCAGGGATACAAGGAATATATCCAAACAGAATAAAATAATATACAGCAAACTAAGAGCAATGGTTAAAGTAAATGGAGTGAAACTCAAAGTGATCCCACTAAAATCAAGAAGAAGACAAGGCTTTCCACTCTCTCCATATCTATTCAACATAGCTCTTGAAGTTCTGGCTAGAGCAATAAAACAGCAAAAAGAGGTCAACGGGATTCAAATTGGAATGGAAGAAAGAAGTCAAACTTTAGCTATTTGCAGATGATAAGTAACTCCAAAAACTCTGCCAGGGAACTCCTACAGCTGATAAATAACTTCATTAATGTGGCAAGATACAAGATCGACTCAAAAAAAATCAGTAGCCCTCCTATATAAAAATGATAAAGAAGCTGAGAAAGAAATCAGATAAACATCACCTGTCACAATAGCCACAGATAACATAAAATATCTTGGGTAAACACTAACCATATCAGTGAAAGACCCTGTTCAACGAGAACTTTAAGTCTTTGAAGAAAGAAAACGAAGATGATACCAGAAAAAGGAAAGATCTCCCACGCTTTTGGATAGCTAGGATTAACATAAAAAAAATGGCAATCTTACCAAACAACAATCTGTAGATTCAATGCAATGCCCATCAAAACCCAAAATAATTCTCCCCAGGCCTTGAATGAACAATAATATACTTCATATGGAAAAACAAAAAATTCAGGATAGTCAAAACAATCCTGTGTAATAAAGGAACTTTCAGAGACATCACCATCCCTGACATCAAGCTCTATTATAGAGCTACAGTAGGATAAACAGTTTGGTATGGGAATAAAAACAGACAAATTGACCAATGGAATAAAATTAAAGACCTGGATGCTAATTAACACACCTATGAACATCTGGATCTTGACAAAAAACCTAGAATTATACAATAGAAAAAAGAAATCATCTTCATCAAATGGTACTGGCATAATGGATGTCAACATGTAGTAGAATGCAAATAGATTCATATCTGTCCCCATGCACAAAACTCAAGCCCAAATGGATTAAAGACCTCAATATAAATGTGACTACAATAAACCTGACAGGAAAGTGGAAATAAGCCTTGAATACATGGGCACAGAAGACCACTTCCTAAATATAATACCAGTAGTAGCACAGATACTGACAGCAACAATAAGTAAATGGGACCCCCCTGAAACAGAAAAGCTTCTGTAATACTAAGGACACAGTCAGTAAGACAAAAAGGCAGCCTACTGAATGGGAAAAGATCTTCACCAATCTCCACATCAGACAGAGGCCTCATCTCCAAAATATATAAAGAACTCAAGAAATTAGGCATCAAAATTCCTAGTAATCCAATTAAAAATGTGATACAGAACTAAACATAATTCTCAACAGAAGAATCACAAATGACTAAAAGACACTTAACAAAATGTTCAACATCCTTAGCCATCAGAGAAAAGCAAATCAAAATGGGTCTAAGATATCATCTTATACTTGTCAGATGGCTAAGATCAAACTCATCAATGATGGCTTATGGTAGAGAGGATATGTAGTAAGGGAAACACTACTACATTGCTGGTAGGAATGCAAACTTATACAACCATTCTGGAGATCAGTATGGTGGTTCCTTAGAAAATTGGGAATCAACCTACCCTCAGGACCCAGCAATAGCACTCTCAGGCATATACTCAAAGGATGCTCAATACTATTGCAAGGGTATTTGTTCAACTATGTTCATAACAGCATTATTTCCAATAGCCAGAACCTGGAAACAACCTAGATGCCCCTCAACTGAGGAATGGATAAATAAAATGTGGTGCATTTACACAGTGGAGTACTACTCACTGGTTAAAAAATAAATGACGTCTTGAAATTTGCATACAAATGGATGGAGCATACAAACCCATCCTGAGGGAGGTAACCCAGACCCAGGAAGATGAACATGGTATGTACTCACTTATGAGTGCTTTACTAGTTGTAAAGCAAAAAATAATGAGCCTATAGTCCATGACACTAGAGAAGCTAAGTAGCAAGGTGAACCCTGTGGGAAAAAAATATATAAATCTACCTGGGAAGGGTAAATAGACAAGATTTCCTGACAAAATTGGGAACATAGTAGTGTGGGGAGAAGGAAGAGTGGAAGGGGAAAAGGAATGGAGAAGGAGAGGGTGAAGGAGAACTTGAGGTAATGGGATAGTTGAGAGAGAGGAGGGACAGAGATGCAGAGTAAGGAAAATGGTATTTTGATTGAGGGAGCCATTGTGGGGCTGGCAAGAAACCTTGCACTAGGGAAATTCCCAGGAATTCAGAAGGATGACTCCAGCTAAGACCCTAAGCAATAGTAGAAAGAGTGCCCGAACTGCCCTTGCCTAGTAGTCAGACTGATGAATATCCTAAATGTCACCATAGAACCTTCATCCAGTAACTGATGGAAACAAGGGCAGAGACCCACAGTGGGGCACTGGGCTGAGCTTTCAAAATCCAGTTGAAGAGTGGGAGGAGTGAGAATATGAGCAGAGGTCAAGGCCATGATGTGGATACCCACTGCAGCAGTTTACCTGAGCTGATGGGAGTTCACCACCTCCAGTCGAACAGGAAATGACCAAACAAGACACTCTGAATGTGGGTGACAGTGGCTGGAGCACACTGTGGGGCCACTTGTAGTGGCACCAGCATTTATTCCTACTGCTTGTACTGAGTTTTTGGGAACCCATAATCTTTGGATGAATGCCCTGTTCAACCTAGATATAGGAGGGAGGTCCTTGAATCTTCCCCCAAACCAACTGCCTTATCCTCTCTGAGAAGTGGATGTGGAGTGGGGTGTGTGTGGAGAGAATAGGAAGAGAGGAGGAATTGGGAACTGGGATTGATATGTAAAATGAAAAAAAGCAGTTTTTTCCCTATTTTTAAATAAAATAAGAAAAAAAGAAAAAAGCCTAAAATTTGAAATATCTAAGCACAAACATAGGGATACCATGTAAGGTATTGGGGTACGCCGAACTTTCTAAATAGAACGCCAATGGCAGAAACAAATCCCCTTACCAGTGGATGAGACTAAGTGGAGATAAGATCTCCGCACAGCAAAGGAAAGGAAAGGATCAGCAGAGCTTTCAGCTTTGAAGAAAACCTTTACCAGCTGCACTTAAGGCAGGGCTGAATATCCAGAATTTACAAATTGTAGATATTAAAGACTAAATAAAAGAAGCTGTTGATCAACAAATAGGCTAGTAAACTGAATAGATAGCATTTAAAAAGAAAGAAGTGAACACAAAATGCCAAACTCTTTTAAAACATGTTCAGTATCCCTAGAAATCATGGAAAGGCAAATTTAAATTGCTTTGAGATATCACCTCACCTTGGTCAGAATGGTCATCATCAAGAAATCTGACAACAAATATCTGAGGAGCTGTATAGAGTGGGGATCATTAATTCACTGATGGTATGGTGCAAATTAATACAGCTGCTGAGAAAACTGGTTTAAGATTGCTAAAAAAAAAAATTGCAACTATAACTACCAAAGGACCAAGCAATTGCATGTTTGGACATAAACACTGAAGCCTCCAAATTTTGCTTTAGAAATATATTTATGATACCAAAGACCTGCCTGGAATGAATGTTGCTCAGCAACGGTTGAATGGATAACAAAAATTTACTGTAAATATATATATATATATATATGCATATATATATATATGGAATCCTACTCTACTCTCAAGAAAAATGAAATTACGCATTTGTAGGACAATGGATAGACTTAGAAAGTATAAGCGATGCCTCACAGCCGTGAAAGGAAAGCACATTTTATCCCTCATTTGAAGACTGTAGTTAATAATATGTACACATCTGTAAACAAATGTACACATTTGTACATTGTAACAAGTGTAAAGAGAAGAAGACAGATGGAATATTAGGGAATATGGCAGGAATGAATTCTTGTAATGCGCAGGAGACATAAAAGAGGATATAAAGGTAAATGTTTTGTCAGTTCTGTGTCGTGAACTTTTTCACTTTTGGTGGTGGGTGAGGACAGAGAAATGTATGTGATGGTGAAAGTGTAAAATTGAATGCGAAGCTCTACAGCTTAAGAATTGCTGTTCTAACTGGATAGAAGTTCTTGAAATGCATTTATTTTGTATATAGCTAATTTTGGTGTGTGTGATGTTCATTTTGTTCTCAAAGATTTTTTATGATAAAATTTATAATGTTAAAAGTTTTGAATGAGGGAGCGAGATTAGTAGCATACATTGAAATGAAATGACGTGGAGAAAGGCTGATACTAGCAGAAAGAAGTGCTTGCAGAAGGAGGTATAGAAGGCTGAAAAATTATGATAATGTTATGATGAAACCCATTACTTATATGCACTTTAAGACAGGTTCATGAGCACATGCAAGGGTGCTTGAGCACACACACACACACATACATGAACACCAAGATATGAGGGCAGAGGTGGCACCAGCAGAAATGGCACATGGACAAGAGTGATAGAGGTGAACATAACCACAATACAGTCTAGATCTGTAGGAAAAATGTTAGAACAAAAATAAATGTCAGAAAAACCTAATGAGAAATGAAAGGAACAGAATTCTTATCCCTCACATTACTTACGTTTTGGGTGATTCCAAATATTCCTATAAGATCTTTATTAGTGCGTATAGCTGGTTCACAGCTGGACTTAATGTATCATGCATAAATCAAACTTTTGAGAAACTTTGACCAGTTTTGTAATCACTACAATTGATCACTGTTGATAGCTACCCGGGTGTTTACACCAAGTCATGTACCTGATCACAGTGGGGATTAGCTCATTTATGTGTAGATTGTTACCACTAAGAACCGCATAAGTACTTGCTCCAGTCAATGTTATCAAAACTCCACGCAGTATCTGCATTTCTGTGAAGAGGAAATCAGGGACAGTGGTCATTGTCAGGTGAAGGAAGTTGCTTTCCACCCCCCTAAGGGTGACATATAAAGTGGAAAAATTTACAGAGGTAAAAGTCCACAGTTAAAATTAATTTAAGAAAGGTCACCTATCTCCATGTACTGGTTTATGGAGAATCAATACTTGTAGCAAATTTCAGGAGTTGATGAAACTAAGGAATTACTAATCAACTTTCATCTTTTCTACCCACTATGTCCTTCCAACATAATGTAGGGCTTTCGTGGGAAAATTAATGAGGTCCGTGTACACATTCAAACACTCAACCGGAATAAGACATGAACAAGAATGATGGAGAGTGAACACGACCAGAGTACATTTTATATACACCTGCATGAATGTCAAAAACAAAAGTAAATGTTCTGAAAACAAAATAAACATTGGAAGAATAGAAGTTGTATTTCTCATGGCACTGCATTTTGAGAGACTCCAAATATTCACACAAGATGTTTATTCATTTTTCAATGCTCAATAAGACAGAGGTATGTTATGGAAGGACATATGTAGACAAGTTGGGGATCAGCTCTTTTTCCAAGAGTGTTTCAAGATTCAAGAATAATGACTTCTAGGACAATCATTAGCATTTTCATAGAGCCATTTTCTATTAACTAAAGTCTCAAAAACTTGAACATTGGAAGGTGTTTTGAGAAAACGCAAGAAGCAGGAGTTGCTGCTGATATTCAAGAGTCATGGAGATTTAAAACAAACTTGAAGACTGCCTGGGTACTGTACTCACTGCATGCGTCCACTTAACTCCACAATTTAAGTCTGGCAGTCCTGCTGCTGTTCCACTCCTACTGCCTTGCACTTTGTTTGCACTTCAGTACAAGCAATATTTAGTATCTTGATACAACTTTCATAACTAGGGTTGTACTTGTAGTGACCCAAGAGTCATAACTGCATTCATACAGCTTGAAAAACATCTTGTCACTGAATTTAAAGCAACAAGACTCAGTGGGACAGAGGAAGCGTCATTTCTGATTGGAATTATAGTATCTAAAACATACATTACTGCTATGAAAATATTATTGAGCTTGAATGGGGTAGGGGCAGATGCTCCAGAGTGATTGCAGGGAGGACAATGAAGCAGAAAATGATGTAATTACATTTTAATTTAAAATGTAACTAAACAATGAACAAATGATCCATTACTGACCTGCAGATACTTTGGTATAAATGGCTTCATGTTCCAGATACTTTCACATATTTAAACTAAACTTACTGATTTTTGTCTCTTCTCTCAGTATGTGAGTGGAAGAATATTCCTCAATGTCTGGTTACAGAAAATTCTCTGGATGTATTTTTTTCTCATAAATAGGAAGGACCTGTAAAACACTGGGGAAAGGGGACTGGATATTTTCCCCCTCTCACCATAAACTCTTTATTCACCTTCAGAAGCAGACACTATGGCCAGTATGGAGATTCCCAACAGGAAAGAGAAAAAGAATTGACTTATTCTACGGCCAATGTGATTCAGCAAAAACATTGCAGCAAAAGAGGCTGGGATGGATGATGCAGCAGTGAGACACTGCATTAGGAAGACATTACTTTTCAGGTGTTGGAGATGGAGGCCAAATCCAAATATAGGTATTGCTATTGTAAATCTATAAGAAACAAAGAGGAAAGTTACATATACTACTTAGAATTCGTGTCCAAAAGCAAAAATATGATTATCCCCAGAAGTTTGTTTTAGTTGATAAAGTATAATGGCCTATCTGTATTTTGGAATATTTACTTGATTGATAATTTAATAATGATCATGAAATCATCATATGTAGACATGTGATATCATTACTGTTGGGTTTTAAGGAGAGGTAGAGACTTTGTGGGAGGCATGATAGATCCAGTTAGGTTTTTAGAGATCTTTTTTCCCTATAACTTGAACTTAGTGATGATTATAACTTTTTTCAATTTTAAAAATATTTTGCTTATACAAGAGAATCATATACAGTGTCTTTTATGACATTCTTCCTCATAACTTCTCCCAGGCCCACAAGTGCATTCTTACCACTCCAAGTTTCATGGTCTTTTTGTTTTTCATTAAAAATAGATTTTTTTATACAATATATTCTGAATAAGTTCCCCATCCCCCAACTCCTCCCAGGTCTTCTTCACTTTCCCTAACATGTGGGACTTCACCCTTACTGTCTCTCATTAGAAAATACACAGGAATCTAAGGAATCACAATATACTATGGTAAGATAAAGCATAAATAATTCAGAATAGGACAAGATAAACAAACAAAAAAAGAACAAAAGAGGAAAGCAAAAGAAACACATATACATGCAGAGACACATGTTCATACATACACAAGTATCCCATTAAAACACAATACAGGACTCAATAATGACATAAATGACTTGTAAGATAAAAACAAAATGCCCTGACACAACATTATGAGACACAAAAAAAAATCCCTCCGAAGATACCATTGAGCCAGATTTGTGTTGGTCACATACTGTTGGGAATGGTACTTGCCCTTAAAGTTGGTTTTCTCTGTTGAAATTTGGAGGAAATTAATTTTTTACTTGCAAGTGAACTGAACCCTCCTGTGGCCCTAACTGGGCTTTCTCCAAGTGAGGATATAACTTTGCCTTTGTTTGTATTAATTGAAATGTATACACTTACATAATTTACTTTTGAAATTTTGTCTCCTTTGAAATGGAAAATGGAAAATGGTGAGCACAGAGAAGTCTGGAATATGATTGAAGATTCACCATGAGTCTGTATTGATAAATCTGTCAGGGTGCTGTAGACATACCCCTTACTGTATAAATTAGTTCTGTATTTCTATATTCAAAACCCCTTGAATGCCAAAAGATATAGAAATCCCACAATTTTTATTTTCAACTTGGTTGTTGGAAAAATTCATTTCTATACTGTTTTAAGACTCACCATGTGAAGCCTACCTCAAAAGGCACAGGAGAAATATACGCCTTCGTAAGTTGGGGGTGCGGAATAAGTCACACAGAGCAGGTTTTATTTGTGCGGCCTCCAGCTCTTCCCTCATGGTGGTTCTCACAACCTTCAGCAACAGCATCAAGAACTGTTTAATTCTCACAAAATAATGAGCACTCACAGAATACCAGAGCAGTATCTACTAGTTCTGTCTAGTGAAAAACACAAACATCAGGGACCTAAGGAAAGCATAATCAAAGGAATAAGAAGTGAGAGCCAAATAAATAAAGGAAACTCATGCTTTTTCTAGAGAGGATCCTCAAAATAGTATGTGGCTACAGAATGTTGACATCAAGTGAAGAGTTACTAAGAATCTTGTCAAAAACTCCAGTCATACCATAATGAATTTGAATGACATAGCAAATTACTGTGGTTCTCTCATATGTGCATTCGTGTGTATGTACACGTCTGCCTGTTTTTTTTTTTTTTTTGCTTTATTTCTGTGTATCTCATTCTTCTTCAATGCCTAGTTATTACCTCCCTGGGTGGAAAACAGACTTAGAAAAATGAATTCCTTTCAAGGTCTTTATGCCCATTTTAGAGTCCTGATAGTTGAAAGAATACATAGTGTGATACTGAGATGTTGGTTCTCTGGCTGGTTGTATGTTTCAGAGTCCGAGGAACTATTAAGAAGTAAAGATTACCTCATGGGAGTGGTCCTTTAAATAGGGTAGCTGGCCTTTAGTTATGGCTTCTTGGTCCACCATGATGTAACAAGCCTTTACCACAAACTCTGTCTCAGTCTTGCCATGCCTGTTCACTATGGCTAACTGATTGCTGTCAATCTATGAGCACAAATCCTTTTTACTCCGTTTTGTTGTTTCTGACATGAATATTGCTCATGGAGATCTTGGTTACAGCAAAACAAAAGTAGTCAACAAAATAAATTGGTACCATATATGCAGTCGTTATTTTGAAAAATCTGACCATGTTTTAGACCATGCTTGTGGTTTGGTGATGGATTTTGGGAAATGTTTCAGAGGCAAAGTAGAGAAGATGTTTCTTGTGGAAGTTCTGTATGCTTAAATGCTGACACAAATCTGAACAGTGAAGACATTCTCCATGAGACTTCAGATGGGAAAGGGCACTTCACTGAGAATTTGGGAGGAGGAATTTCATCTTCCCCTTTTGAGGAACAACAGAAACAACAATAGAAACAACAACAACAACAACAAATTCTGGCAGTATTCTTACTATGTTCTGAAATTTTGAGAGAGACTGATGCCAAAGCTGTGTACTAATTTATTTATAAATTAAAATTTTGAGACTGCACAGCATTTAGGCTGTGACATGCTGTAGAAGGTGATGAGCGCCTATTTGAGCTAGGCTCCATCTTATATACTCTAAGACCCAACCTCAAGGCTCTTTTGTCCTTTAGTGTACATGTTACATCTTCAGTTCATGTCATCAAGATAATCCCACAGAGGAATGGTGAGAGGGTGAATTAAACTAAGTCATCCCTCACAGATGTGTCTGCAAGTTTTCTCCTAGGTGATCTTGTTGAGGTGCAATCAAAGTTAACCATCATGGCTCTACTTTTTGTCAACTTGACATCATAACACATCATCTTTGGGTCATAACTTTCCACATCTTATTTCTATATTTTGATAGGCAATGACTCTATAGGTAAATATAAATACAAGGCTCATCTAAGACTCAAGTGGGTCTCTTTTTTTCTAAAAGCCTGTAAAATGTTTCTTTGTTTTGGAAATCATATTACCAATGCTTTTACCTTCATAACTCAAAATTTTATATATAAATACATAATTTCCTTCTAGTATTCAAGGGAACAGAACAAACATTCCCATTTCAAAAGAGAAGAGTAGGTATGTAACAACAAACAACTGGCCTACTGCAGGACTGAAACTCAGAAGGGAAAGCATTTAATTCTGAAGGTCCATATCTGGCATCTAGTGCTCATAATAGTATCTTCTGATCACTAAAGAAATTTAAGTAGTCTTTAAATGTCTTTGTTCGTAGCCATAGGTTAAAGCTCCTGTAAGCTTTAATAAAGAAGATTTTGCATTTATTGAGTAGCAGTCTTTGAAGACTCGAAACTGTCAAAGTAATGAGAGTGACTATTCAGTATCACCTCTAAGAGAAATGTCTTTTTCACTCCTTTCTAGGTTATAGAAACACCATGGAAAAGGTGAAGATAAGGTCCTTGAGAAGTGGTGGGAAATGTGTGACTTCTTCTTACAGACATGCATTGCACATTGGAACTTTGAGCTTTCATCTCCTGTGTTTACCTGCACAAGACCTGCTAATGTTATGACAGTCAAAATATCATTTTTGAGAGTAGATGGAATTTTGAGAGAAGAGCTCATAAGCCCTATCTTTGTTTCACAATCTGTGTGTAGTTAGTCATTGTTAATTCACAGGGCCTCACAAAGTCATACTCCCTCCTGAGGAAAGAGGGGCAGCTAATGGTTGTTGAGAGAGAGATAGACATTTCTTCAGTAGTGTACTCACAGGTAAGTTGCCCATGTTTCTACAGTTAAATCCTCAACATGTTTCAGTAAATGACCTTAATTAAACAAATTAGATCACAAAAAAGAAAGATACCAAAAAAGGCCAGGATAATAGAAGGTAGAAATAGGACTTGTTAGGAAGTATATGAGAATCATCAGGTACGGTAATATTGAGGGGGTATAAGTGAATCAATGCAATATATGTATGTATAAAATTTCAGACTTAATGCATCATGTATAGCTTAAATGTTCTAATAAGAAGTTTAAAATTGAAAGAAATAATCAATGAAGGCTTTTTCTTACAAAGTCATCTTTGAATGAAAAAAACTGCATTTAATGATTTAATAATAGGAAATTGTCTCTTGGGCAGTAACCCATACACTTGTGAACCTTGTTTCCTATATGTCATAATGATCTTGCATTATGCTCACCTCCATGGTTAAGGTGTCTTCAGAATTCTTCATTCCATTCATACGTGCAGCTTTTCTAAGTTCCTGTAAGCCCTTCTGGGGTTTGTTGGTCACAATCAGCCACCTAGCTGACTCAGGCAACCACCTACTCAAGAAGATATTGTTCATATTTCTCAAGGAGTCATATTACTATATACTAAATTTATTCTTGAGCAGTTTTATAAAATTTTAATATTTGTCAGTCGTTCAGTTATAACAAGAATGTATAATCTTATATCACGTGGTATATTACCTAGGAAAACAGGAAATGATCAGCCATTCAGTGCACTTGTATTCCTAGAATGTAGACCTGGAGCCACATTGGTCTGTCCCCCTCACATGGATACAGATTTTACTAGAAGTCATACAACTGAATGTGAGGGACATTTCATCACATGGTTTCCATATTTTTTGTTCGGTTGTTTAAGGAATGTTTATTTATCTTATGTCTGTGCCTTAAATTAAGAACCCCTGAATACATTTTCCTTAATTACATCACCCACATGATCAACTAAATTTTGTCTTCTGGACACAACAGGACTGATATACATATGAGCTCACAGAGATGGTGACAAATGCATTTCTTATGTACTGATTTAAAAGATATGGTCATCTCAGGATTGCAAAACAGAGGAGGAAAGAACACTCATACCTTGTGGGTATAAGGAGGAAAAATATTGGCACAGACACTACCAGCTGGAGATGGTGCCAATTTCGAAATACAAATGCCAGGCCTGACATTAGTATGAGTCCAAAACATTGAGCACAAATTGTCAGTGTTGTGACCAAGACTTTGAATTTGTGGCTTGTCCATTCTATCACTGAAAGGAAAGAAAAATGAACCTTGATTTCTACTATGGGTGGGAAGGACATCCACAACAAAGAAAAGGTTGAACAAAGTCCATCAAAAACTCTGACTTACTGAGTAAAATACTATTTGTGTATGTGGGTATGACACAAAGCCCTGTTAGGAAGCGAAGTAAGCAGTAGATGAAGAAGGTGGGAGCCAAAGCTGCACAGCTCCCACTGATGGCCATCAGCAGTAAAGCACATATTAAGGTTAACCTCCTCCCAAACCTGAGGAAAAGACAAAGATTCCATCAGGGAAATAAACAGTTCTTGTTAAAAATAGCAGACAAAAAAAATTTGTGTAATCCCCGTGGTTAACTTTTCTCATTTCCTAAACCATGTCTATCATATTGTCTTAAACTTTCTTGAACTTCTTCCATGTCTAACAAGAATTAATTCTGTGTCAACACAACACATAGACTTTTAAACACTAACAGAAATATCTGTTTGTGTTTAGTGATCTCCAGGGTCAAAGGTGCGGATAAAGGAACAAATCTGCCAGGACTGTTTTTTAAAGAGTGAGTGAGTTGTAGCTGATGAAAATACTCACATGCAGAGAGATCTACAAAGCACAGACACTCACCTGTCTGATAAGTGTCCACCTAGGAAAGGTCCTATCAAATTTCCAATCATGAATATAAATTTAGAGACTGAACCCAGTACCTGAGATCCACACACCAGGTCCCACTGGAAGAGAAAGAAATCAACATGACAGCCTGTCCTGTAAATTGTTCAAAATTCTTCAATGTGAACTTCCAAATCCTTACTCTGCAGCTTCCAATTTCATTATCACCTGACTTCTACCATCCAGTCTCGGCTTTAATAATTCTATTTTCTTAGAGAGGTTCCTGTAACCAAGTAGGTTGTAGTAATGAGTTGTTGCCTATATTCAGAAATTGTCAAATGAGGTCCTAGAATAAAATAATTCATGATCCTTAATTTTTTTTACTGAATCCTATGTATCAGAGCATAACCTCTTCCATGACTCCTCTTAGAGCAAGCACAGATAGCACCTGTTCACTATCTTATTTATTTACTTGTATAGTTATGTCAATAGAGAGAATGGAACTTAGGGCTCAGGCATGGGTGCAGTGAACTACAAACTATCTACTTTCTGGGAATTTTTTTTTTCAGTGCTCATTACTAAATCTTGAACATTTGAGTATTTGAGTGCTCCAGATGCATTCTGTCATGAACTGCATATTTAGCCATCATTGTAGCTTTCTGCAACCCTCCAGATATTTTAAACTTGAAGTCAAAGCTGAATAATAGTGACTTTGCACAACACATGGACAATTTAACTAATTAGACCCACAAGAATTACATCTTTTACATACATTTCCTTATTATTATTTCATTCATTCTTAGAATTTCAAATGTGTATAGAAATCAGTATGAAAATCTCAAACATTTATATCCCCTAAAACTCCAAGATGTCTGAACACATCCCTCTCCAAACTTCATGTCCTTTCTAATTTCTTTTTTTTTTTGCATTTCTGTTGCTTGGATAATGTTTCCTATACGTGCACTGGAGCATAGGTAACCTAGTACTGGCCTACCACTAAAGTACGATAATGGTCCCTGCCCCCAGGAACCAACAACTTTTAACAGATCTTCAATGAAGCGTGGGGCGTCCTGAGCTTTGCTCCCTTCAATGCTGGGATTTTGATTGCTTGATCTTGTGCTGGTCTTGTGTAAGCAATCACTGTTTCTGTGATTTCATGTATATGGGTGCTTCTTCCTCTTTCAAATTCTTTTCATTGCTCTTAAAAATTTAAATGAAAAACATTTACATCACTTCCATCCTTCTCTTTCATCCCTCCAATCCCTACCTCCAGAACCTCCCTGAAGCATGGCCATAAAGCCTTATGGAAATTTACTCTTGAGTAAGCTAATTTTAAAATATAATTTATAAGAAGGAACTTTAAAGAGGGTAGAATATTTGGGTGGCCAATGATTCTTTCCAAAGACCTGGGGTAGTAAGGAGTAATCTCTGTACCAGGCATATAATAATAGTATATGTGTTACTGGTCAGGAAAGGTTCATAGGTATCCAAAACAATACAATGTGTTATTACTGCACATGGTTACCTACTGTAACTAAATGTTAAGACCCTATTCCTGAAGACACCATGCAAAATTTTTGCATGTCATAGAGAACACTGTAAAACCAAAATGGAAACTATCTACTGTTGGCTGCATTTCATAGTTCCAGATGTTGTGGTGTAGACTGCAGGTAGAGAAAAGACATCAATGGCCTTACCTAGCACTTTATCCTACATATGACAAAACCAACCTACAGGACAGTATGGTCATTGTTGCACTAGAAAAATATTTATTTCTGATTGGATTTAAAGTTTCCTACAGAGGCAGAAAGTCATATCTGATATTGTAAATCAACTTAGAATCCCATGGTTTGGAATGAAATAGACCCAGGAGGAGGAGGAGGAAGAGGAGAAAGAGGAGGAGGAGGAAGAGAAGAAGGAGGAGGAAAAGAAGAAAGAGGAGGAGGAGGAGGATGAGGAGGAGGAGAAGGAGGAGAAGGAGAAGGAGAAGGAGAAGGAGAAGGAGAAGAAGAAGAAGAAGAAGAAGAAGAAGAAGAAGAAGAAGAAGAACAAGAACAAGAACAAGAACAAGAACAAGAACAAGAACAAGAACAAGAAAAACAAGAAGAAGAACAAGAAGAAGAAGAACAAGAAGAACAAGAAGAAGAACAAGAAGAAGAAGAACAAGAACAAGAACAAGAAGAACAAGAAGAAGAACAAGAACAAGAACAAGAAGAACAAGCAGCAGCAGAAGCAGCTACTATTGTTATTGTTATTTTGGTAAATGGCCCTGTTGTCAAATTTCCTTCTAAATATAACTTTTTTTTCCATTAGACTTGTTTATTCAAGTATTCGAAAACACTCTTTCCACTTCCTCCCCTCCTCCCAATACCCTCCCGCTCCCCCCACTCCCTCTCCTCCTCCCTCACCTAATTTTCGACAAGGGAGCTAAAGATATACAATGGAAGAAGGAAAGCATCTTTAACAAATGGTGCTGGCATAACTGGATCTCAACCTGTAGAAGAATGAAAGTAGATCCATATCTATCACCATGCACAAAAATCAAGTCCAAATGGATTAAAGACCTCAACATTAATCTGACCACTTTGAACCTGATAGAAGAGAAAGTGGGAAGTAGTCTACAAGACATAGGCACAGGAGGCCACTTCCTAAGTAGAACCCCAGTAACACAGACAATAAGAGAAACAATGAATAAATGGGACCTCCTGAAACTGAGAAGCTTCTGTAAAGCAAAGGACACTGTCAGTAAGACCAAAAGGCTACCTTCTGACTGGGAGGAGATCTTCACCAACCCCTCATCAGACAAAGGTCTGATCTCCAAAATATACAAAGAACTCAAGAAACTAGACACTAAAACTCTAATTAACCCAATTAAAAAATGGGGTACTGAACTGAACAGAGAATTCACAACAGATGAACTTCGAATGGCCAGAAGACACTTAAGGGCATGCTCAACCTCCTTAGCAATCAGGGAAATGCAAATCAAAACCACTTTGAGATACCATCTTACACCTGTCAGAATAGCTAAACTCAAAAACACCAATGATAGCCTATGCTGGAGAGGATATGGAGTGAGGGGAACACTTATCCATTGTTGGTGGGAATGCAAACTTGTGCAGCCACTGTGGAAATCAGTGTGGTGGTTTCTCAGGAAACTGGGAGTCAACCTCCCTCGGGACCCAGCAATTCCACTCTTGGGAATATACCCAAGAGATGCCCTATCATACTACAAAAGTATTTGTTCAACTATGTTCATAGCTGCACTATTTGTAATAGCCAGAACCTGGAAACAACCTAGGTGCCCCTCAATAGAAGAATGATTAAAAAAGGTGTGGAACATATACACATTAGAGTTTTACTCAGCGGTAAAAAACAATGACATCTTGAATTTTGCATGCAAATGGATGGAAATAGAAAACGCTTTGCTGAGTGAGGTAAGCCAGACCCAAAAAGAGGAATATGGTACGTACTCACTCATAAGTGGATTCTAGCCATAGTTAAAGGTCTTTGAGTCTATAATTTGTGATCCTAGAGAAGCTAAATAAGAAGGTGAACCTGAAGAAAATCATATAATTATCCTCCTGGATATTAGAAGTAGGCAAGATTGCCAGACAAACTTGGGTGCAGGGGGGGGGGAGTGGAAGTAAGGAGAGATGGCTAGGGAGGGGGAGAGGGAGGGTTGGGGATGGCTTGGGGGAATGGGAGGGGGGAGGGAGGAAGGATGGTTATGGGAGCAGGGAAGTTTAAATATAACTTCTTAATCTAAGGTCATTCCTTGAATGAAAGGATCAAATACATAAACCTTTATGCCAGATTCTTTAGAAATATTGAATATGACTCTTGCATTTTATTAGGCAATAACTAAGCTCAAAGAATATACACTATTTGTGCTATTGATGTACTGTTGTAATTAATGCGCTGAGGATTTGTTTTTATTGAAATCACTTACCTCGGTGACAGTGGTGGAGAGGAAGGTACTTCTTTCATACACCCAACCATCCTCACAGGGCTCTGTGTCTGGTTCTGTCACATTGGAGAACGTGCCATTCAAATGAAGGAAATGCCACTGTGGTTGAACAAAGCGACGACACCTGTCTGGCCTGGAGTTAGAGTCCAGTGGGATAGAGATCCTCAGGAGGTCATCTTGGCTCAGAACCCCACTGTCAATGTCAGAGGCAGTATCATTATCAAGGATGTGGACCCAGCAGCGATGACCAGGGATGGCTGCAGTGAAGTTCTCCAAAACAGTCTGAGGAGCCAGCATGACATTGCAGATCAGAAGGAAAGCTATCTGAAGGATCTGGAATCTCCCCATGTTTCCAACTCGATTCAAGAGATCCTGAAAAGCCATTGAGGCGAAATGACTGTCTCCAATGGGAAATAGAAATGCTTATAGCTATGGGAGTATAAACCTTTAAATAAATTTCTGTTTGACAGAAATATACTAAATACTGTTGATCTTGACCTCTTCTTAATATGACTGCCTTCACATAACATTAGTTTCATAGAACTGTGATCTGTTGTATTGTTGGTATTAGGGAGGGAACTGTTTCCTAAAAAGTAACCAAAAAAAACTGCCAATATTTTTTCTGTTACTCAGTCTGTTAAACATTTATTTTCTGAGAAACTTTGCTTACCACCTGCCGTGGTCATCCCTGGAAAATGACCTGCAACTCCCTGAAAATAAAGCAGAGTTAATCATTTCCATTGCTTGCAGACACTGGTCAGATGTACAATTTATAGGAACTATAGTGAAGTGTTTTCCATTTTCTCTTCCTTGGGAGTAATTTGCTTCATCTTTAGTTTGTTTAATGAAGTTAATGAAAAGATTATGGAAGCTAATGCAAAAGAATTACAGTACAATTCTCCACCCTTACTATATGAGCTGATTTCGAGCAATTCATTCCCTCTGTAAAAATATTACTCAATGTTGTGGCAGACTTGACAAAGACAGAATCTTAAAGTTCACTAGTGCCAACCTCACAGAGGGTAGGGAATGGGAATGGGGATAGTTATGTAAAAGGAGAAAAGATTGTATTAAAAATCTCTTAATAAAAAATTTGATGATTCAAGTAGTAAATGTGAGAATAACTTTTGTTCTAATATCAGAAGAACAGTAAGTGAAAGATAAGTGTCAGAGATCTTAGAGTTCAGTGAGTAATAGAGAGGCACATAAGGAGTTACATTATGCTATTTTAAATTCATCTCCATGTGTATAAAATATAAAACTATCTACCTACATACATACATATGTACACATGTGAATGAAATTTCCTGGACAGGAGTTGTTACTACAAAGGCTAATTAAATGAATAGAACTTCAGTCATGTGGAGAAAAAAAAATGTTGCAGGTTCTGAGTCAAATCACTCAGGGCCTTCACTCATCCTTCTAAGAACTGTTTACCATCCTTACTATTTGTGACCAATGACTTTGTGAGCATTAAGTATAGTCTTTGGACTGTACAAAAATCCCCATTTTCTGACAATCAAAAATCTGATGCTGCCATCTGAATATCTGAGATTTTCCCACTTTTCTGTGACCCCCCTATCCGATGTAGAATGCCATGATTTATATTTTTTTCTTTTTGTGAGTATAAAACTGCAGGAAACTGATATAACATAGGAACATGGGATTTGGCACAGGCAAAATCTCAGGTTCTGGGATGTACTCATTCATATTTGGGTCCATAGTGACACTCTTTTATCCCCTTTCAAAGAGAGTTGTGTTTTTGCATTGACACATATATGATATTTAATGCATAACATATATACTGACCTGACATTATTTTGCCTTGATGATGATCCCTTTGTTTGCTCTCAAGTTAATTCTATAAATATCCTCTATGAGCCTACTTTCTTTTTGTTTTTTCACACATAATATATTTTTATTATGTTTTTTCTCATCCCCTTAACACCAGCAAGATCCTGTTCACCTCTCAACTCACCCAATTTCATATTTTTTCTCAATCAAAAACAAAAGAAACCAACCATACAAAGAGCAAAAGCAAAAAATCCCTGAATAGGGACTGGGGGGGTGGTTGAGTGGTTAAGATCATTGGTTACTCTTACAGAAGCTCTGATTTGATTACCTATACCTACATGGTGGCTTACAACTGTCTATCAACAGTTCCAGGGGAATCTGATGCTATTTTCTCTCATTCATGGGAATCAGGCACACAAATAGTATAACAGACATAGCCAACTGATTGGTGCCAATGTGGTGAACTAAATCTATGTAAAACCTGAGAGGGCTTGGAAAGAAAGTCTAGATACTAAAAAACAATGTTTAGCTACATTTTTCCAAATGGACTTTGTTTGAGGTGGCATGTTGTAGTTCCTTTAAGAAAGATCTTGCTGATTCAGAGGTAGCAGCAGTGCCATTTCAAAACAGCAGCTTCACAGCCATGGACTGTACTGCTAGCTTGAACTCTGACGTTTTTGGGAAACTGAGCATTTGGATGGGGTTTGTAAGCAGCATGCTATAGCTTGCTTGGTAGCAACTTGGACTGGCTGTGTGCCTAGAAGTGGGGTGATGTGCTTGGCTTAGAGGCACAAGTGGCTCCACATGCTGAACTGGGTGGGGCAAGTAGGAAGTACCATATGTATCATAGTAATGGCACAGCTTAAGTTTTAAGAAGCACTTAGCATTTTAAAAATTGCTCCCGGACAGTGAAGAATTACAAATATGCAATAAGGACAAATCCAGATGAGTCATGGTGTTAGATAAATGTATATAGGCTTGGAAGAGAGAAGAAAAAGAGTATAGAGAGTCATAAAATAAAGTTAATGCTTTAAAAATGTGTAAAGTCTTTAAAGAGATAAAGATCATAGAAAAAAAGAGTAAAGGAAAAAAGCCACATAAAAATGGAAAATCCACAGAGTTTGGATTATGTAAATTATTGTGTTTTCTTTGAATTTTTTTGACTGTGAAGGGGCTAAGTATAGAGAGACATTTCACTGAATGGACTGCTAAGCTAAACCAGCATGTATATTATAAAGGTATCTTGACTTCAGAATTTGAGTTTAAGGATATGTTGCTTTGGAAAAGAGGTTCTTCTTTTGTCTCCACAGAAGATGAGAACTTGTGGATTCATTCCAGGCTAATATGGTTTGATGGACCATGACCCTCTGAAAGTTTGCTGTGAACACCCTCAAAATTACTTCACCTAACTGCTAACTAAGATGAACCTAGCACACAGGATACACCATGAAAGATATGATTAATAGTGCCCCCAATCAGCAGGAAGCAGTATGGAGAAAACTATGCCCATATTCCCTAATATTGTCTATAAATGTTTGTTCACATTTGAAAGGGACTATGTTATAGAGATTTGCATTGGTATGAATCTTGGTTTATTGATACAAATTTAAGGGCAATTCTGTATATGTATATTATATATATATATATTTCTGCTCTTGATTAAGTAATTGTGATTGTGTAGTTCATTTAAAAATGTATAAATTAATATAGGTTAATTGATAATCATCTATAATAGTCAAGCTTGTAGTCATGTTAGTTATGTTATACACACACACACACACACACATACATACATATTTCAGTTAGATGGGTATTCTTCAAATCTGTAAAATACCGTCAGAATATGGCATTTAAAATGCTTTAAGAGCTTAAGACCTTTTATGAAAATGAGACAACATCTGCTCCTGGCAGCACCAGGCTACTTCAAGAGGAAGATGGACATCAAAGAGGCTCCTTATGGAGTTTGTTAGCCATTTGGGCAAGAAACTGCTCTTGCCTGGACTGCCTAACTGGACATGCAGGACCCACAGAGAAATGACTGCTGAGCTTGCCTAAAGGTGAGATGATCCTTCAGGTTTTCTGCTTCATGAAAGAGTCTACTAGACATTCTGAAGGACACAGAATAAAAAAGGAACCGACAAACTGCCAATATAGGCAGAATTGTCTTTGAAACTTTCTGCTTTGTGGAAAAGTCTGCTAGGTACTATGGGCCTGTAGGCTGAAGATGGATGCCCTAACAGTAAAGAAGAATTTTGGGTGACAGATAGCGAGATGTCTCTGTCAATTCTAAAGTTTTGGAAGGTACTTGCAATGTCCTTCCTCTTTACTTAGATAATATTATATCCTTCTGGAGTCTTTGACTGAGTTGAAGAATTTATAGTTATAGTTGTCCTTAGTTTTGATAAAAGGTAAAGTAGATATAAATATTGTAACTGTAATTCTTTGTTTGATACTTGTTTTGCTATATGTAATTTTACTATGTTAAAGTTAAAGCCTTCCTTTTTGTTTAAACAGAAAAGGGGGGTGATGTGGGAGTCCCCTCTGTGTGCTGTGATAACCATTAATGAATAAAGAAAACTGCTTTGGACCTATAGCAAGGCAGAACTTAGGTCGAAAGGGTAAGCTAGGCTGAATGCTGGGAGAAAGAAGTGTGGAGTCAGGGAGACACCATGGAGCCAACTGTTGTTAAAAGGAGCGGCTGCGAGCCGTTTCCCACCGCCCGGCTCCCGGCTAGCTTTACCTGAAATAATTACATGAAAACTGCATTCTTGGATTCGGGCCACGGCAGGGCCCCGGCGAGGGGGAGCTAGGACTTTCCCCGACCCCATAGAC